CGAAGAAAGGGGTTAGAAATTTTTTAAACCTCATATTCTTGTAGAGCTCGACGAGCTCTATCGAATGATGTATCTTTTAAACAAATCGAAAAGTCACGGAAACTTTGAATTACCCGCACCTTACTTTCCAACTTTCCTTCTTTCCTACTTTCCTGCTTTGCTACTTTCCTACTTTCCTGCTTTCCTAGTTTCCTGCTTTCCTGCTTTGCTACTTTCCTACTTTCCTGCTTTCCTAGTTTCCTGCTTTCCTACTGGCCTGCCTTCCTTTCTGCATACAATATTCCCAAAGCAACCAAGCAAATTCCCTTCTATAATGATAAGAGTTTCGACATAGTGGATCAGATAGTGAAAGAATACACTTGCGCCCAAATGTCTGGTAATCCTACTTTCCTGCTTTCCTACTTTTCTTCTCTCCTTCTTTCCTACTTTCCTGCTTTCCTACTTTTCTTCTCTCCTGCAGTCGATCAGATAGTGAAAGAATAGACTTGCGCCCAAATGGCTGGTAATCCTACTTTCCTACTTTCCTGCTTTCCTGCTTTCTTGCTTCCCTTCTTTCCAGCTTTCCTGCTTGCTTAATTGCTTTTCTACTTTGTAGCTTTATCACTTAAGGTTTTTTAGTTTGCGGCAAATTGTGCAAGTTCTCTTAGAGAACAATTTGCCGCAAACGCAAATTCTGCATCCTGTGCAAAATTATGGATTTTCCAGGCTAAGGTTTTACAGGAGGTTTTCAGAAACCCTCTGACGTTTAAACCCGCTGAATCTCATATTTGAGAACTCGTTCAGTATCAATACACTATTCTAAGTGTTTCCTGAAAATTTGGTGTGTTTCTGACTTAAAATGGCTGATATACGGCAACTCTAGTTTTGACAGGCTTCATGCAAAAGTCCGTTTTTTCATTAAAAATACCCTGGTGACCTTGGATCAACTTCTAGTCAAAAACAAACATTGTCACGTTGATCAGCACATTCGGTAACCTATGTTTCAAATCTTTCCGAGATCTTCCGACGTGTCCCGACCGAGTTAGCGTGGTCTCCGAAGAACATTTCTAGCTCCGGAACCTTGTAAGGTAACGACCTGGGACTGCTCTAGAAACGAATATCTCAGTCCGGGCTACCTACCTGTCGTCTAAAAAGTTAAAATCCGAAACTTTTTCAGTGGTGTGACATCTTTCGCAAAATATCTTCGCAGGGTGCGCCACCTGCAGGTGATTTCGGGACAATAATTTTGGTTTTTCTTATTGCCCCAACATTTTCTTTCGACTAGTGAAAACCGCAGCTCCGTAGCTACATCCTAGAAAAAGTTATTAAACAAATGGCCATGGTCTTTCTTTTCTGAAATGGATAATAGTTGATTTTGAAACGAGTTTTAAAATGAACTGATTCAGACTGAAATTTTGAGATTTCACCTAGTTTGTATTAAAATTTCGATCTGAACTAGTTCAATTTTAAACTCAAGTGGGCTTTAATCTGAACTCCGACATAAATATACTAACATTAAGTGTTTGTGATATAATTGGCGAAAAAGTGGGGTGTTGTCTCAGAACGCTCCTACACGTCTTCTTCTTCTATCTCTTGAAGAACATCAACTATATTTTTCACATACACTCTGACGATAAGACAATTATTAATTGTATGGAGAAAGAGCTTACTCGAAAATGTGGAGACGACGTTCCGTAAGTCTGCTCCCTGAACATTATTTAGCGTACTGGATAGCGCGATTTTAGCATGTACGGGTATGTTTTCTTCGTCGTCGTCGTTCTCGGGAAGAGATATTGTTGCGGGACATTTGTATTCATCGTTACTATCTAATTACAGTAAATGTAAATTGCCGTCGTCTGCTGTCTAAAAAATTTTCGTATCATACAGAACCAAAAAAAGGATATTTCTATACCGAGATACCTTTTTTGGAATCTCTGAGTAACAAATGCAGATACCCTCTTTTTTTTGGCTCTATGGAATGAGGAATACTATCAAAGAAATCTTACAAAACCAAAAATGATACACTCAAATACCAAAATGGCACTGTAAAATACGGTTAAGGGTATTTCTAATTCCAAAAAGCGAACTTCGCGTTCACACGACTTCCTAGCTCTAGGATTTTCCGTAACGGAGCGACGGAAAGAGCTTGAACGGGTCTTAAAATGAAGTTAACACACGTAACTATAGGTTAATACAGCTTGATTTTTGATATCCAGTCTGCATTTGTGGTTAGAAAAACATCTTTGAGCAAGTTTATGACACTTTTTTGAATTCTGGCCATTTGACGCCGACTATTATTTTGAATAGTAAAATATCAAAAATCGAGCTCTATTAGCCTACAGCCACATGTGTTTTCGTCATTTTGAGACCCTCCTAAGCTCTCCACGACGCTTCGTTACCGAGGAATCTTGCAGCTACCAACAGCTCCATTTTGACCCTTAATACTCTTCGTTTCTTTTTGACAGACTAAAAGAAAACTTCAAATCTTCTTTCGCTCATACTTTTCGAAATATTTGAAACTCTGTTGGTAGTAATCGTCATTCTTGAATAAAGCGGAACAACATATACAAATATATAATCCTCAGAGACCTATGCTAACACGATCACTTTCATTTTTCGAAACCCTTCATGGCTTCTTTACCATTATCCGACTAAGAAGGGCATCTAACTATTCCTATATTGGCACAAAAATAGCTTTGTTATTCCACTACAAGTAAAGATGATTGTTTTTCTCCGTAAAGTTGACATTTGTATTCATCGTTACTATCTAATTGCAGTAAATGTAAATTGCCGTCGTCTGCTGTCTAGTTGGTAGTCCACTATGGAACTGTTTCAGAGTTCCGTGAAAAAAGATAGGCTTCACGTAAAAGAAAATGGTTTCCTACGGAATCTTCTTTCCTTGTATATTTCCAAGTTTCATAGAAAAAACATAACGAAAAATAATCAAATTCGTATGATATTCTCTATACAAAACTTTAATCTGTTCGTTATTCTTGATGAAAGGTGACCGACGTATTAGAAAAAGATCAAAAGGAAAATCTCTTCTCAAAAACAAAATCAAATATGATTATTTTTAGCCATAAAGTTATTTAGTATATGTAGATTTTAGCAAACATGGGGCATTTTTACTGTTGTTATATCTATTCAAGAAGAACACTAAATGTTCCCTTAACATATCTTAATCGGATGTGTGTAGAAGACGTCTCATTCAGTGACACATCTATATGATTTTAATGAAGCGATTAATAAGCTTGAACGTAAATATACAAACATTAAGTGTTTGTGATATAATTGGCGAAAAAGTAGGGTGTTGTCTCAGAAGCGCTCCGTACACATCTTCTTCTTCTATCTCTTGAGAACATCAACTATATTTTTCACATACACTCTGACAATAAGGCTGTTATTAGTTGTATGAAGAAATCTATGCGACATATGTCACTGTTCGAAAAATAAATATTAAATATTTTTAATATATATATTTTCATTCGGAAAAATAATTAATTTTTAATAATTATATTAAATATCAAAATTTGTTATAAATACCACTTATGAAATGTTCAATTGGGCTGTTTTTCCTCTATGTTGGCTGTTATTATGCTGCATTACCATAAAGGTTTGTTTCGAACATCTCTTGTAATGTAAAATTTAGGGGAAAATACGATAAGTTTTTTCAATTGATTTTACAATCATTTTAGTTTTCTCACGGCGATGTGACGTTAGAATTGCGTTTAATTCATTATGAAAATCGTTATGGTCAAACGTATGAAAATCGACCATGCGATATCAAAATTGAAAATGATGTTAACCGTGATGGACGATGTGATACGGCATTTTTATTCTGTCTTGTCGAACTTCCATTTCAAAATCCGCATAGATGTACATTAGGTGATTATTTCACAGGATTTGTCGGCGCAGATGACATTCATTTTATTAGCATTGGTCATAATGACACATATATTCCACCATACATGCAACGACGATCACAAACTAAATCATTATGGTTTTTATCACCAATCTATTTCAGATTTAAGTATCCAAAAGTGAGTGAATTATCAATATATAAGACTGATGTCTAGTTTACAATCTTCTTGTTTTAGAATGGAATTGGTCTTATCGTTGAGGTATTTGATGTTGATGATTTGCAAAATCAAACATTTCATGATACAATTGATTTCTATGGACGAACGTTGTTGGATCTTAGGCTATTTTCGTCAAAACACACATCTCAATCACAATATATTATATTAAGAAGTTTATATGATAGCAATACTAGTTTGAACGTGGACTTTTCAGTATGAGATTTGATTAGGTGTACGATTATGTAACATTTGCTGTCATTAAATTGTTGCGTTTTAGTTGTATTGTTCAGTAAATTACTATGGCTCGGATTGTAATAAGCATTGTGTTGAAAATAATCGATATTCGTGTGATGTACAATCAGGAAAAAAACTATGTAATAAAGGTTATTTTGGAAAAAATTGTTTAAATGGTAAGCAATCGATAGAACAATTGATAAATATTATCGATCAAAACTTAAAAATGCACACTGTTTTTAGATCTTCAGCCGTGTGAAAATAATCCATGTTTACATAATGGAACATGTGTAGTGTATTTACGTGATTATCTGTGTCAATGTCACCAGGATTTTTCTGGACGATCGTGTGAAACTAAAGGTAAACTTGACGACAATTAGTACTACAGACACGTTAGTCGTGATAATTTTTGACTATCTTTCTAGTGCAAGTCAATAATTGTAACTCATCCTCCTGTATTCATGGTCGATGCAGCAAAAGTAATAAATGTATCTGTGAGAAAGGTTGGAAAGCACTAAACTGTAATCAATCTATAGCAGGTGAATATAATTAAAATATTAGTTTAACAAAAAATAATGTATGCGTGATTTAAATCTATATTGGAGGTTGTTACAATAATCCTTGTTTACATAATTCAACGTGCGAAAGTTTAGATAATAAAAATAAATCGTATCAGTGTCATTGTCGTCCTACTCATACGGGGAAACATTGTGAAGTTGGTAAGTGATTATTTTAGTAATCTTCAAGAGAGAATCAAATACTTTTTTATTTCGTTACTAGAAATTTTACCAACGTGTGAGAGAATTCCATGTGTAAATGGTCAATGTTTAAAAGTTGGATTATACAATGAAATATGTGTTTGTCAACTTTACTGGTCTGGAAGTGACTGCACAAAACCATATATAGGTGAGTTTAATTATATTTTAAATATTTAAAACCTCTGTACACAGAGAAAAAAGTACGAAGTTTGAGAAATTTTCGAGATCCATGCTAAATCGATCAGCATTACTTTGGAATATCCGGATATATTCCGTTATCTGCTCAATGTGGTTCACCATTTAGGGAAAAGGACGAATTTTCTTATTTCAGAAAATTTTCAGAAAACCTTATCGCGAATCAAAATACTTTCTGTTGGTTTTAGAAATGTTTATTATACTGTACGATATAATGCAAACAAAATAGACTATATATTTAGATTCTAGAGTTGTTTTAATCGATTTTAACTGAGTTATGAATTTTTTCTTTTTTTGCAATAAGCCCAAAACTTCAAAGAATATTGCTTTTCATCAGGCTATTGAACAATATTTCCGCGAGACTCAGCGTGATCAATAAACTATGTTTTCATTCATTCTCGAGATTATGACAGCTAAAGAAATATAGAATTCTAGGCTTTACCAAATCTGATCCATGCTTGATTCACCAAAACTTAAGTGGTCACTTCATTCCTGTTTTGAAGAGAACATGTTGAGCTATTTAGTCATGGAAGAGTACTGAAATATTTGTACGGTAACTTTCGAAATACTAACTTGATTTTCCAAAGACCTCGTCTCGAATCAGCCTTCGCCAAGAGTTTTGAAAGTTTTTTCTATAGAACGCCGTGGCCTAACCTTGGCAGGGCGACAACCATCTATTTCTATTCTCTTTCTCTTAAATATTTATAGTTATTCAAAAACGAGTACTAAAGAAACGAATGATCGGCTTAGCGTTTGAATACAATACAACATATTTGCTGTATCTGTCCTGTGACTAATGAGATAAATAATCTATTTAACAATTTTGACATTTTTCAGCCACTACAGAGAAACGTCTATCAATTATCATGAGTGCAGCAACAACTACAAGTCCTAGTTTAGAACGTATATCCAGCTATTCAACCAGACTTACAAAAACCTATATTCCGGGTACATTTTTCCCTCAGTCAAATTCTCTTCGTTCAACAACTTTGATTAAACTTAATCAGAGTGTTGAAATAAAAGAATACATAGATTTGTCAAACAAACAGTACGTTAATCAATTGTCAGCAGAAATTCATTTTCCAGAAACCTCAACAACAATACAACATCAATACATAACAAAAACGTTTAATCTCTATAGTAAATAGAAATAATATATAACTGGTTTTAATGTTTCATCACGATGACAATATCATTTAGAATATACACCATGTTCGAATGCTCCATGTCTTCATAATTCAACGTGTATTATTCTGTCTGAACGACATTACCGCTGCGTTTGTCAAAATGGCTATATTGGAGTATATTGTGAAATTCGTATGTAGCTATTATTTCATTTAGCGTGATCTCGTTAAACTACAGTCAGACGAATCTAGATTATTGCTCATCCGCTAATATTATTCGTACTTTTAAAGTAAAGAATAATTTGTTTAGAAATACTAAGTGTATCAAACTTGCGTAAGTTGAGCATGTGCATGTGACAATACAATTTTGGAGGATAATAGCAAGGATCAGGCACGTCTCGCATGCACTAAGCTTTTATTTTACATTTTTTCACACAGGAGATATTTTAAAAGGGTTAAATCAGTTTTCTTTAACGGATAGTTATAAAAATAACTTCTTAGTCTGTTAGTATACCTGTTTTATACGTAAGATAGTTAAGTCAACTGTGACTTTTATATAAAGAGTTTAGCTTCTAATGTCGATCATCTAATATGACACTAGGCTAGCATTTGTTTCTTTAGTGCAAAATTTGTGTGAAAGTAACCCCTGCATGAATAATGGTGTCTGCATTACAAAAACAAATAAAGAAATTCAATGTTTATGTCCACCAGCATTTAGCGGAGAATTTTGTGAACAATTAGGTATACAATTCTACGTTACCCGGTAATTTTTTTTACTGATTTAATAGTTTTAGCCCTAGCCCAACTGCCTGCATCCGCATTTATATGCAAAAGACAATGTCAAAATGGAGGACTATGTTTAGTGAGTCTATCGCATTTGAAGACGGTAAATCTGATTATACCGTGAAAATATTTTTCTAGATAAATGAACATAAGGCAGAACAATGTATTTGTAAAGATTCATTTACCGGTGTTAATTGTGAATCGATTAAACCTAGTCAAGAGGTGAATATTCAACGAAACTGCTCTCGTAATAAATCATTAAGAGTACTCGTTTTATTCCAAAATAATTCTATCTATCGCTAATTTTAGACATGAGTGATAACCTTTGCGTAGATCCGTGTACCTCTAATCCATGTTTCTATAATGGTACATGTTCATCAATTATTCACAATTACACGTGCTCTTGTGGTAAAAATAGACTTGGTAATAGATGCGAAGTCGAATCATCAGATTCCTCAGGTAATCATAGAACATCTGTTAACAGTGACTAATGGGCAAGGATGCTCCGACTGACGACGGAAGGACAAGTTGCAAATCGTTTTTTCAATGAAACTAGGTAACCTATATGTAATTGATGACGTTGATTTCGAATGTGAATATATATATTAGGCTTTTGTTGACCGGTTTTCTGAAAACTAGATCTTCAGAAAACCACCAAATTCAGAACATTTTTCTGAGTTAGCCATTTTGTAGAAGACACAAAGCTGTCTATGTTCCATAAGTTTTAGTTTTTCAAAACAAAAATCAAGAGCGTAGAAAAATTTCTCAAAAGAGTGGCTCCGCTGGTTTTAACCCTTTGGTGCCGTTTTTTTTTTGAAGAATCCCAATAAAGAATGTAAGATAACACAAGGAGAAAATCCATTATGTAATGTTGATGTTATGCTCCGAAATATAAACTTGAATACTATTCTATCTTCTTTACTTTATTTCCTAATTACTTGCTAACACGCATTCTAAACGCTCAAAAGTACAGCTATTTACATATAGTTGAACACACTAGAAACATATGGAAAGAAGAGTAATGATCTAAGGAGAATAAAAGAATAGAAAAGAACATGACGCATAGTATTGACCAGGACATATGACGTCAGTAGAACAGGCAGGACAAAGAATAGTCACATTTCTAAATATGTGATATTATATGATCTTCTTAAGTCTATATGACATAACAGTTGGAAAATACTAAATGCACTATGTATGGATATTTCCGACACTTACGAAATACTGATAATTTTCTGTATTAACAAATAGGCTATTTTCACTCACTTTTGATTGATTTGTTATATATAGCACCCCGGATTTTGAGAAATAGTCGAAATGGTATATATACCACGCCCGGCACCAAAGGGTTAATAGAAAAATGTTACAGTAGGATAGTTTGCAAAAACCATAGTGCCGTCCTTAATATTTTGAAAAACTAAAATTTATGCGACGTAGACAGTTTTGTGTTCTCTACAAAATGGCTAATTTAGAAAAATTCTGGATGGTCTCTGGTTTTCCGAAGAACCAATTTCCAGAAAACCGGTCAAAAAAAGCCTAAGGACTTCCAATAATCAATGATAATTAGTTCAGCCAATAGTTGCTTTGCATTAATTCCACTATTCAGAAAAAAAATGATGGTTTGCGTTTATTCGATGTTGTAAGTAGTACTACTGGCTCCATTGCTGCGCTTTGGCTAATTGCGGCGTTCACAGTTGCAGCCACACTATTCTCTATTCTTTTTCTACATATAAAATCTAGACAACAAGGATTTTGTTTTTCTCTTTTTATGTGTGATATAAAAAATAGAAGGATCTTTTTATTGTTAGATGGATAACCTTCAGTCTTTCAACAGCTTTAGTCATATTTACATATGACCTTCATCAACCCTCTTTTCTTTGTATTCATTTTTGTATCTAGATGTTATTTTTCCTTCGTCAATGTGTCCATTCATTTATTTTATTTTCGACATCGAAAACACTTATTTATCATAGATTATTTTGACATGTATTTTGTATATATACGAAATGTATTTTCAGTTTAGAGGGATTACTAGAAGTTTTAATAAAACAAGGATAAAATCAGAAAAGATCCCGGTGAAAATGCACAATGGATCCCGCATACAAAAATATGAATAAGATCAAAGGCGGCGAGATAAAAGTGAGAAGGCCGACAAAGAAAACCGGGATCTTTTGTGCGTTTTTTATACAAGTTTTTGTATACGGGAATTCATTCTACAATTTTTCCGGGATCAAAACTATTACCGTACATAAAACAAAACATAATTAAACAATCTTTTATATTGAACGTAGCAGATTCATTTATGTACTAGTACAGGCATCTTTTCAACCTTTTGGCATTTTCCTTTTCGACACTTTTCCTTTCGATATTTTCCTTCTTTTTTTTCCAATGTTTTTCCATTTGACATTTTCCACCCCCAGGAACGTGACGACTGAAGACGATCCTAGGACGTCTGCACCCGACCTATGCTAGAAAATATCAAAAGAAGAAAAATTAGAGCAAAATAGCGGAATTAATACCAAAGCGATAATGTTGACTTGGACGGTCATAAAAACGTCTTATAAGATGCTATGAATTCTTGTATGGTCCTGTGAGTTCCTTCAAATTAATGCAAGATTTTGTATGATGTTCTGCGGCCTTATAGGATCGTATTTCAAGACTTTTCCTCATGTGTGAACTCTCTTATTGTGTGCGAATGATCTTACAATTTAAAGACTTCAGTTAAAAAGATATGAAAATTATTTTGACATCTAATTTAATAAAAATACGAACAAAGTATAGGCCAAAATGATGTATAGAGGGCGAAATCGATGTAAACAATCGAATTTGATTACTTTCGCTAACTTTGATATAACACTTAATCGTCTTTATTTCATTGTGTCAGTTTAGATACACTGATAGCAGCTCGAGATTCTTTACGTGATGATACAAGTGCTTTGTGGCCTTTAGCAATTGTATTCGGTTACGTCTTTTCACTCATGCTTGTATTTATTATTATATGGTTTTTGTGGTATGTGCACATAATCCTTCATTTTCTACCAAGTTAGAAGCAAATAATTTTCTCTTTGATTTTAGGTATGGTTTAACAATTCGCCCGTCTTCAAGGCTCTTTTTTCGTTCCAATTTGCGCATTGACAATCACTGTCATCTCGCTCAAACTCAGCGTATCAATCGTTTAGCTTCATCACGATTTGGTGTGGCTAATCCGTTATTTTTTCATCATAGCGCTAATAAATATAGTCCAAGTACTAGTGTTGAATGGACAAACACACCACCATTCTTAAATAGATAGCTGAAACAAAATATCAACAAATGAAACACGAACCGGTGCCATACCCATGTCCACAAAATCAACATTTTTTTTTTTGTGTGAATGAAGCACGCAAAAAAAACTGCAAAAACAAAAGTGGCAAAAAATGGTTACAAAGATGAAATTATTGCAAAATTCTGCATATTTTACAAAAAATTTGATACAAAGATCTGTATGAATTAACCTATTACACAAGTTTATATAATTTTTGCGTTATTTACTGTTTAATGCAGAAATTCTTCGAAAACTGACTATATGGGTAGTCTCAATTCGTCATTGCATTTATTTTGTGTCCCTGTTGTAGTCATTTTCGTGCATGTGTTGTTTTTCTTTAATTTATTCGACGTAATAAGGCACATGTTTGCTCTCAAACTCTTTTTGAATCAATCAGCTAAGTATGCCTTAATCGACTATACTTTATCAGCTAATCTGGAAAGGTTCCTCTTAGAACTAATATATATATATATATTGAATGATCGTAAACATCTACTAACTTGAAAGAAGCCCCGATTTGAAGAAGACAGATTTTAACACTAAAAAAGCTCTTCTGAGTTTCTAAGTCAGTTTATTTCTTAAAAGTAACTTGATATAGATAAAAACAGAACCAAACATTCCCGCATCTATTTTTACTCATTTTTAACCGACATAAAAAGGTCCCTGAAGCTACTTTACTCTTAATGCTTTACAACGATTAGTGTAGAGATGTGCAGGATAGCTGTTTGTGCAGTCCTGGTCCTATCCTGTGACTTCAGATGATCTCAGGATCCTAGTCACACAGAGCAGGAAGGATAAGGATGCCCTACACATCTCTATATTAGTCAACATATAAGGAGAAAGCTTAATTCCTTAAACTGTTGACGTCAGTCTCAAAAGTAAATGAGGCTTTAGTTAAATATATTATTTTGTTCGCGTCATAATATCTGTACGAAAGAGAAAGAAAATGCATCAAAAATACTTTATTTAAAAAAACATTCTCTCGCAAAATTATTCAAATTTTTAGTTATCAAAGAAAGTTGAAGTATCATTTTTCTATAACAAAAGAAAACGTAAACATGCAAACAAACAGCTTCGACCTCCCCATGACTAAATTATTTACAAAACATATAGTACGTACAGAACAACACTGAAATGGATTTGATTGAGAGAAAACTTATTAAAAAAAAAACGAAAGCAACTATCAAATACGCAATAACGATATGGCAGCACTCTACAAAAGTGTCTTACAAGTTTTTATCACCAAAAATCATCATCCGATGGTGATTTTCCATTTGTTGGCGTTTTTCGAATCGCGGTCGTTGTCGTTTTAGATTTATTTCGATTAGGTTCATCGTCTGAGACTGTTGATGTATCAGAATATTCACGAATTATTTGAACTGGATGTTGACGTTTATCATCACCATTTGTTATGGACGGATTAATATCATTCTATAAACGGAAAAATTTTGATTTAGAAAAGACCTTTGCAAATTTTTACTAAGATAAATTTAAACGAATGCATACTTTCTTGTGTTCTGAATTCTCCAAAATATCTGTAATATCAGTGACAAGTGGGTCAGCTCGATTCCTATTTGTGGTGACTAAAAATGAAAGAAAAAATCGATATAAAATGTCTCTCCGATATAAAGAGTCTCTTCTATTTAATTTTAGTTCACTTACATTGTTGTTCCTGTTGCTGTTGTTGTCGTTTGAACCAGTTTTGATCCAACGATACACTTGGTTGCTCGTCTTCCTTCTTATTAAATTCCGACTGATGTGTTGAAAATATGTTAGATGAAGGTGGTGATGTTGATCGTCGATTGTTGTTGGCATCGGCTGACATTTTTCGAATTATTTTTGATGTTGACGTTGGAACGGGTTGAATTTGTAATGGTTGACGAATATCAGGATGTTCGATAAGATTTGGAACAGAGCCCGTTCGACTTTGTTGTTGTTGCAAACGACGCTGTAATTCATCATCGAGTTGAGACGCTTTTACAGTTACTTCAGGATGTTCAAATACACGATCGTCAGATGTCAATGGACCACGAATAGATATAAAACTCCTGAAGATAAAGAAATAATATTATTATATTCATTGATATGTATCTCATCTACAGATTAAAAAAGTTAATATATACTCTGGCAGACTAATTAATCGTTGCTCTTTGGTCCAATATTTTTGTGATCGTATATCTTGTAGTGATGTTGACCCAGGCATTGCTGTGACTGGTGTTGTTGTTGTAGAATCACGATTTAATTTCAAAGGTAAACCGGGCATACGACGAGAATAATCGGCGGCTAAAAACAATAATAATATATAAAATTTAAAAACAATTATAAGTCAAATTTATCATCAGATCTGCATTTATATCTTATTCAAAAGTAACGATTAAAAACAGCTGGTGCCCTTTTTTTCTCGTTTTTATTCGATTTCTTATCATTCGATATTTTTAATATGAAACATTTCTGTTTTGTTATATACCTTATCGTTTGTTATTATCACAAAATGAAAATATAATTTTTGATACTTTGACATTACTCCCTACTAACAAATATTCAAAACTTTTAGTTTGTCCCCAAATAAATAAATGTACTGCTAAATAATAGAATAATAGGGTCACATAGATACTCCCAAAAAAAAAAATCTAATCAAATAGAAAATATTATGCTTTTCACACTTTATCACATGCACACACAAACTTATCAAGAATTATTTTCTATACTACATGAACCAAACAAATTAGAAAATTCTTTTTGTACTTAAGAAACGAATATAACTAATATTAACGTCAAACTGTTACAATGAATGAGAAGAACAGAAAGAGTAGATTTTATTTTTTATTATAACAAATACTTAAACTTGTCATCTTAGGGTACATTCGAACACAAAATACAAAAAATAGAGTACCACCAGCGTCAACACAAAATATTAGTCCTAAAAAATTGAAAAAATCTCACCACAACAAAATATTTATTTCTTAATATATTTCGTACATTCTACACTAGCTTAGCTTATAAACACTTCATTTACTAACTTTCGTCAGTTGAGGGTTTAGAGAGGAAGTGATAGAAGCGATCGCTACTCCCTTCAGAATTCTCCACGGGAACCGTCTTCCGCTTAGGATATCTTCTTTTTTGATTAAAGTTGTTACTTCTGCGGTCTTGGAAATCTTTAGGAAAATAAGAAAATTCATAGTGTTTGTGAAGACGTTGCACAGTGGACAACCACATCATATTAAGATGGAAAAACGAAAATGCACTTTTTCAAGATTGATTAGCAGGTCATATATTTCAGCATATGCTCTATCTCTCTGGCATTGGAAGTTTTTTTCTAAGTACCATAGTTAGTGAGAAAATCGTTAAGAAAGTTTTTGCCGGAAAACAAAGCGATGAAGATAGAAGAATCATTTTTAGTAAAACAGAACATGATAATTGTAAAAATCATACGTATTTCGAAACTACACCATTCACTGTCTATTCGTAAAAATATTTTTTTGGAGAGGAACGCTTTCGAATCGAGAAAATAATGTTTCTTTCTCGGCTAAGGATTTTCCGAAGAGTGATCCTCCGTACAGTGAGTGCGCCAAGTTTAGCCAAGTTCCAAATTCAATGAAATTTTCACAGAAGATACATCTACTAACGATACATAGAGGTCGTTAGCACAAACTAGAGCAAATGTTTCTGGACCGAGTTACAGGTTTCCAAAACCCTTGGTTTTTAAGATTAATACGGATTATCTCAGTTCGGGAACATTGAAATTAAAAACCAATATTATATTTGGAATCAGCGCACAAAAATTCGTCGAATAGTGTATAATTCAGCAGTGTTTGTACGGAAACGTTTGAATTTAGTTGATTCCTTTTTTTCTTGCATGTGCGTATAGAGATTTTTGAATAAAATTTTTAAATTTGAAATTATCAACAGGTGAAGTTGTCTAAACACTATTTGTATAGGTTATCGATGATTCTCTATCCAACACAATTGTTTTTGAGTTTTTTAAAGATTTTCTAAGTGGTTTTATGTAGACCGGATATCTGGAAACCACTTAGAAAACTTTTTAGAACTCGAAAAGCATTCCATTAGATAGAGCACACAAGATAACCTATAAACAACGCGCTTTTAAGTTTTCCTCTAGCTTGCGGGACCATGTGCCTTATGAGAAAGTGTGTATGTATAGAATTATGAGGAGAAAAATGACCACTAAACAGACAAACAAATTTGATAATATATCGATGGTAATAAGAATGCGCTACAGACAGGTTCTTTGATGGAAAATAATAGAAGTAGTATAGAATACTGTTACTCTGATCTACTCCTTTGGTCATTATTACTCAAAAAACGTGAATGAACGACACATAAACACAAAATAGAAACTTGCTATTTTTATACTTTACGGGCTACACGCTTATCGTTGTATTTTTCCAAAAATAAAAATATTCACAACTGTTTTCACATTTTCGTTAATACATTGAAACTTACTAAAAGTAAACTTGTTTTTATGCGACATGATATATTTTTTATTTTTATATCTTTTAAAGTACAAAAATATTCCATTCTGGAACACTTGTGATGCACTCTGCTTTTTCCCCTCTTCTCTCTCTCTCTCTTTTCTATAAATCGCGTGTATCACTAGTTTATCTCTCTATATCTATCTTTTTACTCTTCTTCCTGTAAGTTTAAGAGATAATGCCACTTTATGTATTATAAAAAAAAACATCGGTCGCAATACATAATAACAACAAGAACTCTCTTTCTCACTCTAGGAGACATTCTAAAGATGATTTTCATTTTTTTATTTTCTTCTCTTTTCTAGCAAGGCAAGGTCAGTACTATATAAATAGAAAGATTATCATCTCATCGACAACTACTACTACAACTAATAATAATATAGTTATTATTAAGATGCTTTTGCCGATAAATTTATTTTCTGCCTCATAGAGTAAACAAGCAAAATATTTATACATCAAAAGGACAGAAAAGTATAATTATCATTGCTTAACCTATTAAATGACTGGGTAAGATATATAAACTCAAAAATTGTGGACAAATGTATCCATCCTACTATTCTTTACTTCACATAGATATCCAAGTACAAAGTTTATTCTGACAGCCATTTTAACTTTAGAAATATGTTCCAAGACTCAAGCGATGTGCACTGACTTTTACTTTCTTTTCCTATGATACTTTCACGTACGTCAGAAGATTAGAAATATTGGATAATCAAGGAATAGAGAGACGAAAGAGTGAGAAGATCAGAAAGTTACAAAATTATTATAGTAGAAGAACACAACGGCAAAAGTTCAGATGAAACAACATTACAAGCACCGGAGGAAAAAGGTGTTTTGGTATGGTGAAAGTGGAACACAGAGGAGAAATAGAGAAGATCAGAAATAAGTTAAAGGTGTGTGACGTATAAGACAGTTTGACTCGCAGAATAAATTTTATGCTTGGACAGCTCTCGTACCTCATGAATCATGATACTCATTAAGTTGAAATTTTTTACGTCATATAATTTTGTATATTCGATAAATTTCATCTCGCTTGATATAAAAAAAAGTACAGAAAAAGTCAAGAACAAAAGTTCATTAACATTGATGTTTTATTTGACTCCCATTCAAATTCATCTGGTACTTTCAGAGCCTTAAAATTTTTTGTATGAATATTGTTTTTATATCATATGATGTTTTTTCCTGAAAATTTCGAGCTCAAATGATGTTTATGAACGAGTTGTCGTGTGGAACGGAGATTCAGAAATGGTAAAAATGATTTTATTGATCACTCTATTTTGATGCACGAGTCAAGTGTTAATCTTACTTGGTTAAAAATGTTATTTACATAATAATGATGAAAAAGTAAAACGAGCATATCTGAAGAACCATGACGTCAAATGAGATGAAAAATATTGAATGATTGGAGTATATTGTACATGCTAGAGCCACACAAAATTTCAAATTATGGTTCAGAAGATAAGATAAGAATTACTTTTGCTTAGTTCCTATGACTAATACTACTAGCACTAGGACATCTATATTATTATTATTATCATCAATATGTAAATCTTGCATAAGAGAAATAAATTATCAGTTATACCCTATGGTAGTATCTGTTTTGATAGTATTACGCATGTACAAATTAATAAAGGTTAGAATAACCAGTTACTAAAGTATTGAATATTCATTAATATTTGTCGTTTTCATTAACAATAACATCAAAAAACTTCATAAGAGATTTTTAAAATGGAAGTAAGATGGTAAAGTTCTTAAAAAGATTTGTTAATCAAATAGGATATTCATCGAATCTCGAATAAATGACTGCATCTTCGAAAAATATATCTATATACTGTCTAATTGTTAGAGGATGTATTTAACTTAATATTCGATAATATGTCTTTTCTTAGAAATGTCTTTGTAAATATTTACTCTTTATTTAATCATAAAATTTTTCTAAATCATTTCTTTTGTTAGACATAAGTACATAATTATCGCAATTATTTTTTACGATACTATTTTAGTCTAATAAACAGTTGATCCTTATTTTCACGCGTAAGTCAGATATATTTTTAACACTCACTGTTCATAATAATTTACACTCGAAAATATGAAAATTTTCCTAAACAAATGTTTGTTTAACATAACCTTTATTTTTCTTCTGATTTAACAATGAATGATGTTTTAATCAAAACATGACGACTTCCGCTTATTTCCATACATTTATTATGATCTATGTTTAATAACGAATACAACTATAACTATGGATATCTAATGATTATATGTTCTCCAATTATAAACAAAATATATCAAGTTCATCTTTCTAGAGTGGAAACAGTGTACGTAAGATTGTATTTTCTTGTCAAAAACAAAAAAGAAAAGTCACATTTTATTGATGACAAAATAAGAAATGACATATGGTTAGATAATAATGATTTGACAGAATAAATTATTTTTCTCACTTACACAAAAACCTATTGTGTTTCGATTCAAAACAATAAATAACATATAAATCGAGAGCGTGTTTTGGATCTTAATTATAAAGAAGAAGAAAAACAATATATATCTATAGATAATTATAACCAAAGTCTGACTACTCATTCAATAAAAGATTTATAAAATAACTTTTATACGCTAGTTGCGCGATATTAAACAAAATAGGGATTTATTAAAGATAATACTAAAAACTCGTTAAAAAATACTTATGAAAAAAATGAAGTTAAAATACTTTGTTTTGTCGATTTTTATCTCGTTTAACTTACCATGTTCATCCTCTAAACAAATCATTTTT